TTTTATAAAGCTGCAAATAAGATAATTTATAAGCAATATAACAGTATTTTTTAACAGATATGGAGTTCAATATGCTCATATGTGAAAATATTTCATAATACTAAAATTAACTTAGACATTTAAATATGATAAAAATTATAACAATAATATAGGGTTTAAAAGCTCAAATGAAGCTTACAGAAATAAAACTTATTTGTAGAATTCCATTTGATATAAAAGCTTATGCTTTCAGAATTTAGAACAGTAAAAAGTGATTTTTCAAATAAGAATACATTGCTTTCCTGGAAAAATACTTCCAAATGATTAATATTAAAAAGATGACAATGAAAGGAAAAAGAATGAATATTGTTTCCAACATTAAAAAAGCATCTGTGTTATAAATTGCCAGATAAAACAATATTAACAACATATTCCTATTTACCTTCACACTTATAATTATGTACCAATTTAAAGTTGACCTTCCATAAAAATTTAGAAGCACTAGGTTTGATCAGTGTGAGATAAAGTTACAGCTAGATTTACACTCTATGTGGCATTTTATTTTTATTTTCTCTTTTAGAGTTATTATATTATTATATTAAAGCATATAAAATTTGTAGTCAGCATAGCAAGCTTCAAATCATTTTAGTTAATTAGCAACTATGGTGAAGCATGAAGCATCACTCTTTCCCAGTAGTTTCATTTTAAACAAATCATCCTCACACATAAAAATAGCAAATTGCATTAAATTTTATATAAGACATTTTACAGCTTCTTATATAGGAAAAGCTATAAGCAGCTTCCATGGCACATACCACAGCAAACAGCTTTGAATAAACTCTGGCAAGATATCATTCATAGAGATACAAGACACATACAGCCTACATCAACTTAATGCTTAAAGCATGTCACAAAAAGTTGCAGGTTCAAAGAAAGAACAACAAAAAATTGCCCAGAAGTTGAATTGTGGTTACACTCTGACATCCTTTATTGCCTTCAAGTTGAAAAAGAAAGTATTTTGGTATTTCTCCTAGTTCTATTTAATGCTTGCTGCAAAACATTAAATAAAAGCATGTAGAATTCCTAATTCCAAAATGCTGATTATGTATTGGCTGGCTACTTTATTCCTATTTTTCAAACTGAAATAAGGCTGATAGATCGCAGTGATAAGAGTCCTTAAACATCATCACTAAAACTTTGCTATTTTTACACAGTCATTTTTAATCTACTTTAGACAGTATCAATTTTAAGCTCCAACTTAAAGTACAAAGACACTTCCATATCTAATTTGTCATAAGTTAATCTTTAAAAAATAAAAATAATTATAAATGCATTGGATAGATTTTTAACAGATACATTTCTTGTTCTGCCTGGCATATAAATATTGACTGGGTAGACTTCATAATTTCAGTCAGAAACATGTTAGAGGAAGTTTTAAAAAGTCAGTCCTTCTCTTTCTTTAGCTAATGAGTTTCCAAAGGAGGAAAGCAATCCCACAAATGGGCAAATTCTGCCTCATCAGATATGTACATTTTATGTTCCACAGCTAAATGAATGATATGCCAGTCCAGTTCTGGAAAGTGAAAAAAATTCCACTGTTAAGATTTGATACTTAGTGTACAAACCGTGGAAGATTTTTCTTTCTTTTTCTCTTAAATATAGCTACCAGTGCCGTAAAGGAGAAATAAATGGAAAGACATCAAATTTTCCATAATAATAGTTTCTATAACCCTTAAGAAAATATCTTACAGTCTAAATTATTATATTTTCATATTATTTAATATCTCAAATCATCATTCAAAGAACTTACAAGTCACATCATCATTATCACTACTCCAAGTAACACAAATAAAACACAAATCTTTAAGACTCACTGCTCATAATTAGAAATGTTTCTTTCTGTTTATGGAGGCAGAAGTGTATTAAGAAGCTAGATGTAATTGGCAAAAATATTTTACTTTTCGATGTATGTAAAAAATTATCTGGCCCAGGACAATACTTGTAACCAACAATTTATGTGGACAGGCAAATTACTATTTTATTACTTTCCTTATTCTTACTTATGTTCTTAATAATTTAGACATGAAATATAAATACGTAAGCTATTTATGTTCAGTTTCGTGCCTCAGAGAAATTACATAATATCCAAGGGCCAAAAATAAAACAACTTTTAAAATAGAACTTAAAGTATGCTGAATTTGGAGGAAAATGAGAAAAATTACTTTTAAAGCTCAGGAAACTAACCACAGAATATTACTTGTTCACTGATTGTATTACAGATTCTATGTAATTAAATAAATAATTAGATAGGAAAAATTTTAGGTGTACCTCCCTTTTCCCTTTAGCTAATTTCACCCATTGCCTGAAATCATGCCTCTTATACAGTAAGCATTTAATAAACATTTTTGGACAACTATTTATACATAATCAAAGAAATTAATTTGTAAATAAAATCTGCTTGACTGTATTTGTTGATTTAACATACAGAATCAGACTATTCTAATTTGCCAGTCAGAGACATATGCTGTTGAACATCTACACAATTTTACTGAGACACATGCTTTCCACATAAAACTAAATACCACATCTGCGGCATAATCTATAACACGTAACACAGTGTTTTACACACACCAATTCTCCATTTCACTTCTGCAATTTTAAGTGTTGATGAAGTTGCCAAATAAGTCACATTATATACAACAAACCTTCAGTTTAAATAAGGGATAAGATTGCTGTTAACAACTTAGTTTGAAATGTTAACAACCCTTAGGCTGTTAACATAACAACTGGCCATTAATGTGGTAATGACCAATTTAAGAGGAAATTGTACTCTGAGAAATGAATATATTGGCAATCAGGACCAGAGTTTATATTTGAAATAATATTATATACGTTTAATAAGTTAACTAGCATTAAAAGTTTGAGCCTATCAGAGGGTAACTAAAAGTTATTCTACAAAAAGCCACATACACTCTTATAGAGATATAAAAACTTCTGATATGAAAACTATTTTTGATAAATGCATTTTAGCAAAACACTTGAGACTATTAAATACCAGTTTAAAATCATACATTTTTACTACCACAAGGAAAAATAAAACAAAACAAGTCTAAGATTACTGTCTCTGCTCAATACTATGCTGACAGCTACAAAGCATGTTATACTCACAATATAGGTATTTCCTTGGCAAATTTTTATTTTTGGTTTTCAAAAACCCCAGATATTTCAGTGGACATTCTTTCCAGTTTACTTAATTTTTGTCCTTTGGTTTATTAAAAAAACTTAACATTGCCTGGGCTATATAAATTCCTTATTTGAAATGGTAACATAAATCCACTTGAGATACTGAAATTACAAATGTAAAAGTCAAAAGGAGTCAAAAAGCTATGACTATTGGTTAGTACCGATGAAGCAAACTAAAAAGCAGTATTAAATCACTAAAAGCAAATACAAATGCTTTATGTGGAAATGAGGCTCTAATTCACAACGAGCAGAAGAGAAATTTTTATTTCAAAGAGAAGAGTTCAAAGACTGGAGAGTTCTAAAAGAATGAACATTATACATTAATTTTGATTAGTTGTGCCAACACAATGAGGGAAATCCTGGCTGGAGAGAGTGACTTCTCATTGTTGGCACCTTGCATGTGTTTTACGCACTTGGAACACAGAGAAGTAGTAACAAGTGGTCATAATTAGTCAGGAGGCTGTCAGACGAGGCCGTCCTAAGAGCGAGAAAGAGTAGAATCTGATAAACAGTACTGCTTTCACCCTCTTGTAACTATCATTAATCAAATGATATATTTTTATATCTAAAGATTGGATCTGACTGAAAATAGCTGAATTATATACTAAGAAGGACCAGATTGCCTAGAAAACACCTACCAAAAGACCAAGGTACTAAAGGAGTTACCGTTGATTGATACATTTTGTCGTAAGGGAAAAATTCCAAATAAATCGCTTAACGTCAAACCAGAAAAATGATTAATTGTATTAAATATGAAAACCCCAATGATGCCATATATCATTTCTCTAATTTGATAGATCCTACTTTATTAATATAAGTAATTTTCAGCTGAAGTAAGTCGCAAAGTTGTCTGAAAAGCAAAATAATTTTTGCTCAGCAGAAGTTCTGTGTTGAGTACTTAATGCTAGAAAACAAAAACTTTAGTCGGCTTCATAGCTTCGTAACCAAGAACACCTGCCTTGTCCTGAAAGCGTTCAGATGTTTACAGGTTGGAGAGTGGCTGTCATTTTCCCATAATGATGGAGGTCTTTACTTTGTTATTATCCATAAAACTACGGGCAAGTCTGAGGCACTTCAATTGCTTAGTTGTATTTTTGAGATTACCGTTTAGAATGTCATGGGGTGGGGCGGGGGGAAGATGTATCTACACTTGGGGAAAGTTTTCAAAACTCTACAATAAATGCATTAATAAATATTAGTCAAGGATGTGCACCTGACTTCCTCTGACAAGCCTGAAACAGAAAAGAGAGCTGAGTAACTTTAGAAGAATAAATTCAGGTCCAACTAAGAGGCATCAATTAAACTCTTACACAGTCCATTTTTTTTTCAAGTTGAACTTTTTAAAAATAAAGAGTTAAGATATTTTGCCAAATGGCTGATTAATATCTTTGTGCTATGCTCAGCACCATTCCTCAAGCTCCAAAAAAAAAAAAAAAAAAAAAAAAAAGGCAAAAATAAATAAACAACCTGAATGCTGATTTCTACCAAATACATCCTTGACATTAACTGGCAGTTTCAATATAGGCAGTGCCATAACCAATTGCCTGAGTGTGCAGGCAAGCCAAATTGAAATACTTTAAATATTGTGGTTTGTTGGCTGTTCCTTAAGCATTAATTTGAGTAACACACACAGGGCAACGCTTTGAAGGCTGACAGGTCAACTTCTTTTAGGAATATAAGCCGGCAGTAAGGAAATGAAACAAGCAAACAAAAAATACACTTACAAAAGTACTTTAAAAGGCATCCAGTCACCACTGGTGTGCAAGGATAATTCCTACCTCAGATAGTCTCTGCGACAAAGGATAAGATTAGCTTTAGTGTACAGGGTGGAGCCCACCTCTCCCAAGCGACAGTCACAGCAGGCACACTTCAGGCAGTCTTCATGCCAGTATTTGTCCAGTGCCTTTAGAAGATACCGGTCCTTGATCTTTCGGTTGCAGCCAGCACAACCTTTCGGCTTGGTGTCTGGCTGGACTGAGAGCATTTGTATACCTGAAGGAAGACAAAAGCAAAAAAGAGAGCTGAGACTACTAGACGAATAAAAAGATGTCAAAAGACCTCAAACAAGTTAAATATTTAATATTTCCTTATTCTAGGAGTGCTAGCTTTTCTTGTTTAGGGCTATACTGAAATCAAACTAAATTTTGGAAGCAAAAACTCTCAAACTTTATCAAGTGCTTATTAAATCATTCATAAAGTTATGCATGCCAAGTGGTAATAATAAATTCATGTTATCATAGTAAATTGACATTATAAATATGAAGTTCAAGAACATTAAATAATTTTATAGTATCTTCATTCTCCCCATAGAGCAGTTCCTTTAGAAAGAAAATATGAGTAAATGACGATCTGAAAGAAAGTTATTTAACAAATTAATCTATGCACAGTCCATAGAAGTAAAAATACGAGTTTTGCTTAACTGTTTAAAAATTTCACTGAATATGTGCTTGACGGTGGAAGGAGAGTGCACCTGGTATGGGATTACACTAACCTTATTCAGCAGTAGAGGTGTTTATAGTTAGGTACACAGAACAGCTACCCGAAAAGCTCACCAATCCTGTATTGCTTGCTTGCTTCCAAATACTTCCTTCTATGTCCTTGATATTTCAAAGTATTCATTGTGTTCAAATATAATATTTATACTCACAAGCATCAGTCAGCACCTATATTAACGGCAGATTACTTAACTATATACTCTATGGCTTTATGTAAACCTAAAATATATGATTATACCATTTATTACCATAAACATACAAAATTATTTGTTTGATAAAGAAAAAACAATAGATGGCCAGATCTAAATATATATACAATTATACATATATAAATATATACATATTATATGCATACAATGCTAAACATAGGCACATTTATATATTTTAAAGATATAAATCTATCATAAATAAGGAATCCAGCTGGATTCTAAGGGTTTTACAGTTTGATTGAAATCTTTTGAATGAATGGATATTCACCTTGAGTGTCTTCTTATTTCCTAGGTATTAAACACCCAGCTTTAGCAAGAAGCTGGACCAACTATCCAGTGCCTCATATTTATCAAGTAACTCATTTTAAGCACTATAAAGTACTGCAGACATCATCAATTCCAAATTCCCTCATTTTACAAATTATGTTACAGAGGCCCAAGAGAGGTTCAGATACTTGCTCAAAGCTGAAAGACAGTTACGCTATAGTCTCTGGCCAAATGGCCTTCTTGCAGTCCAGAGACCCCTCTGCTGCATTATGTTTGCTCTCCTAGGCATAAAGTTTTAAACTTGCATTTAGAAGGATACAAAACACCAAAATGTGCATGCATTATAGGAAAAGAAATGCCAAGCTAGAATCTGCATTTTTGTGCATTTTCCTTCTCCAGAACAGCTAAACCTCCTCCAGGTTCCTCTGATACCTGATGATGAAGTCTTCACCCCCCTCACAACCTTCACAACCTTTTTTTTAAAAAAATAATCGCACTGGTGAGAGACATCAAGGCATCCGCAGAGCAGAATAACTTTTCTAACTACAAATAATACAAGAGTTGCACAAAATATTGTTAGGATGTTGAACTTTCATTAGAAAATAACTTGTCTGGTAGAGTTGTGTAGGGAATGGCAGGATATAAAGCAGAGTAGCTGTTCTTTCTTTCTGCATCATAAGCATAGCTGTAGTCACCGGAGCTGCAGACTAACAGCTGGATTTGTAAGAAGAGCAGGTGGTATCCCTATAGCCTGCTTTCTGTTCCTTTCCTTTGAAGGAGCTAAGGGCCTAGTGCAGATTAATCATAACCCTTGATAGCTCTGCTAAATCTCACTCTCTAGAACTTCTAACAAATGAAGTTTCTTTGATCAGAACTAGTTATCCTCTTCTAGCAAGGTTCCACAAGGAATGAATCACATTAATTACAGTGAACAACAGACCCAAGTGCCTATTAACCATATATCTGTGGGGAGGGGGAAGTTTTGATTTACTCAGTGAAATTCTGGATGGTGTTACTGAAAACATCTAGATAATAAATATTAAGAGAAGCCATTCTAATTAAGCCATCCTAATTAATGGCCATTCTATTAAATTTATAAGGCCATTATTTTTATTTATCACAAGTCTCAAAGATGAAAAATCAAAAAAAAAAAAAAAATCCCAGCAAAACCTTCTTAGTAGCAGCTAAGCTATATTTCCCATAGTTGTGTTTCTACCATCAAGCATACAAGGTCAGTTATTTTATGCAAAATGCTTTGCAACCAAGACAGGGGATACCAACATTTGGCACAAGTAACACCACCCTACTTGTCTTCACAAAATGTTTTTGTTGTGTTGACATTTTAATTTAGCACTCAGAGGCCAATTAATATTTGAAACTCTTACATTCTGTTTGGCCTTAGGCATAAAAGGAGTTTGATATTTTACACTCCATCCTGGTACCTTCTTTTAGAGAACATCATGGCATTTCTCTTGAAAATGGAATCCCTTGAATTCCATGCAAGTTAACAATTGTAGCGAAAGAACTATTTTGTAGTCACCATGTTACCGTGTACTTAAAAGGCATAAAGCAGTCCGCGGCCTCCCCTCTTCTTCCAGAAGAACATGTCTGGGTAGAGTTATGTGTTCTTAGCTAAGAAACATTTCACAAGTTGCTCATAGCACATCAGAACTCATAACTAGTTTTAGATTGGCATGTAAATTGTTCTGAGGGAAATTCTTATTGCCTCTGAGACCCTGCCATTCTGAGTTATTTGACAGTTTAAGGGAAATCATAATTAAAAAAAAGACATAAATAATAGCCTGTGCAGTGTGGTGTGCAGAAATAAGTAGAACCATTTCATTTAAACTCTGGTGAGCTTTTAATTGCCTGGATTGCATTGTGAGGCGGCCTAACGGTTGATTGCCTCCATTATGTTCCCTTGTTCTGTGCCATTCATCCGCACAGTCTCAGCTTCAGTAGTTAACACAACAAAGTAACCACAACTCCACAACACACAGGGGTTTAAAAAATAATAATAATAATAATGAAAGATTTGCAGCCCTTAGACACAGTCTTACATTTTTGGACTAACTACACAGAGTGAATAGAAAACATTTTTGTCCCTGTCGGGAAATTCACAGAGAACAATTTGGGAGAGGAAAGAGGAAGAGGGAATACATAAAGGGGATTGGAAGAGATGAGGTGCTTCAGAAAGATGCAAAAATGGGAATGCAGGTTCTGCAGCTGGGCGCATTGACACAGATTAAAAGAATTTGGCCAACATGGCCATTCGATTGCCAAGAGGCAACAGACAAAAGATTTTCCTCCTGCCCATCTTCATCCTCTTCCCAGCCCCCAACACAGGTTGGAAAACTGGATTGGGCCTAAAAGCTTGTTTCTCTCTGTTCACTGGCCCAGAGCATCCCTACAGGCTGCAGCCCCCTAAGGGACAACAATGCAAATAGATGTCCCCAGATCTCAGGCACTGGAGCTGCTTAACTCTGTTCTGCCCCTTCAACTCCCAGCCCCCCTCCCTACCCTTCACCCCCCCCTCCCCTTTTTGAGCAATGGAGCTGGGAACCAATTTGATTCCCTTTTTCTCCAATGCAGCTGCAAGGCTCAGAGATACTGACATTTTTCCACTCTTATCAGTTTAATTACAGTTACCATGGCAGCAAAGTGCTAGTGCTTGGCAAAGGCCAACAAGAGATTTGCAAGACTGAGTTCAATTTTGATGCAGCTCACATGCAAAATAAAAAAAAAAAAAAATAAGAAACATACATACACTCTAACAAAGAATCCCTTGCGGAGTTTACGCTCCAGCCTTTTGTGGTTGTGTCTTTGCAGCCACACAGGGATGGTTTGCAAAGAATGTAGCAGTATTTGTTGCATCTAGCAAGATTAATTGGTTTAAGCAGTAGTCTTTCAAAGCAGTTACAACAATAATATTTCGGTTCTTTCAGAAAGACACAAAAGCAGCGGAAGAGCAGAAAGGCTTTTGAGCAGCCAAGAGTGCAGAGCGCCGGCAAAGTGCATCTATGATAGATTGTAACCTTACCAAAACTTTTCTCCTTTTTCTGCATGAGTTGACTTAGGCGTGCCTGAGTTGCAGCAGCTTCGCATTGAGCACCAAGCCCAAAGGTAGAAGTAGAAGGGGGTCTCCTTGATTTCGCTTAAGTGTGGACCTGGTGCGCAGCCTACACCGCCGAGGACCGACTATTGTGAAGCCACTTTGGGAGCGGGTCGGATTGGCGGCAGGGGGTGGGGGAAGGGATGAGGACGGCCAGACAAGACAGGGCGCACACACGGAGCCCCTCGCAGTGTGCAAAATGATGGCGAATGACAAAGCCACATGCTTCCCTAACTCTGCCCGTAATCCTAAAATCCCAGCGGCCCCTTTTAGCTTCCTGGTAACAAATGGATTTGATTAAACTGTCACATGCAGCGTTAGCATAGCATATCATGTTCAATATGAAAAAGATCATAAATCTGACTTGTATTTCATAACAGCAATCTGGGTAGTCCCCGTAAAAAATGTGCTGCATCAGTTTGAATCTCAACCTATTAGGACACAGGCACCTTGGTCCAGGGACCTTCCCTGTTCTGGCTACTTCTGCCCCTACCCGCCCCCGCCCCCCGCCGCCCCCATCCCCACACACAGCCACTTTTCCATGGCAAAGGAACAACATTTTGTTATTATGGCTGCGTGGAGAGAGGCAGAAGTGTCAACAAGGACCAAAAGATTGTAATTTCAACTCTTTATGAAGTGGGGGGTCATGAATTCCAGCAAGTAAGGGGGAGGGGTCCGGAAACCCACCCAGGACTGAATTCTTTTCCTATGGGCTGGGAGCAAACACTTCCTAATTCCAAACTCTCCCTGCCCCTCTCTCCCCGGGAGTCAGGGGTGTGGAAATACTGCAGTTCATGGTGAACTTTGACTATTATCCACTCGAGTCGTACTTGAGACGTTCCGCGCCGCAGCCGCTCTCCCTCCTTCCATCAACATCTTCCGCCTGCATCTATTTCATGTCTCATCATAAAAATAATGAAGCCTCACATGATTTAGACAAAACCGTCTCAGTAGAGCTGCAGCCCGAGTGAAAGTTGCAGTGCGGAGCTGGGTTGCAGCTCCAGTTTATGCCTCATTAGCAGAGGCTGGGGAAGAAAAAAATACCCACATCCGCACACGCACGCGCGCACCCGCAGACACACACACCACAAATAAGCCGACGCGTGTGTACACAGTTGCTGCACTTACCTTCTCAATTAAGCGATACAGGGGGAGGCCGTTCAGTAAGCACAGTGGCTGCTTTGTAGCGCTTCTCCTTGGGAAAGGTCAAAAAGAAGCATTGTTTGAAAAAAAAAAAAAAAAGACGGGGGAGGGAATGTCTATTTTTTTTAAGTTTAAAATAATGAGGTCCTCAAGGATCCGCCAAGTAATTGTGTTGACCGCATCTGAGCCACAGGTGTCCTCCTTTTAGGCAACTGCAGTCCGAGGCTGTCTCTCTCCGTCCTGGTTCAAGACAACTTACCCCAGCAGCGTGCGAGGAGCCGAGCTGAAGGAAGCTCCGGCTCTCAGCTGCAAAATGCAATCCCTTCCCAGCCAGACATAATACAGCCAAAGAAAAGGTCACTCAGTTATTACTGAGCCGGCGGAGCCCAGGCAGCGCTTGTCAAGACCACAGAGAAGCAGCTCCCTTCCGATTTAAGACTATTTACCTCTCGCCCCCACCCCTCCCCTCTTCTTTCCTTCTCTCCCTCCCTCTCTCGCTGGCTCCCTCGCTCGCTCTCGTGTGCCTGTTCTGCAGCTCAGTCAAGTACAGCCGCCCTCGGAAAGTGCAAAGCAGCCACGAGACAGATCGGGCTTTGTTGCTAATTTCCCAGGGTGAAAATTTACAAGCCTGCGAGTGCAGTCAGCACAACCACATGCATATGCTACTCACAAACGCTGGGGACAAACCCGCACACAAAATGTGACCTCTGCAGGAGTCGACTGAGGAAGGACCCTACCTCCTGGACCCGTCCAAAAGAAGAACTCCAGCGAGAGGGCTCCGGAGGAAAAGGGTAGGGTTCCTAAAATAACCAGGGCATTTTGGAATAGGTGGCTACATTTAAAGCAAATTGCCTTCCAAAGCCATTTCTGAAGCTACCAATTATGGAAATTAAAATAAAAGCAAGAGAATCAAACTGCTACCGTCATACCCTGGAAAAGCACACAACCTTTAAGAAATGTCTGGAGGTGGCTGCAGTTGCTGGTCTCTCTGTGACTTCCATTCATGAACTCTCTGAAGTCGCTGCTCCGCAAGTCCGCCACACAAGCCTGATTCTGGGATCACACACACACTCGCCTTCCTCCCTTCCTCCCTTCCTCTAATGGCCCAAGACCCAAACTGTGAACTTGTTCTCCATTCACTAATGCTGACCCCCACCACCACCACCCCAAACACACTTCCTGCAATTACTTGAATTCCTTACTATTTAAAACTCACACGCTCCAATGAAAAACAGCCAAGAGCACTGAGAAACATGTTTTCAGGACTAACTTGGTCAAAGAACCATAGTTTCTCCACCACTACCGCTTTGTCTTCACAGGCTTGTTTTAAGGCCTTAACAGATTTTTTTTTTCTTCAACTATTTCTAACCTCCTCTCCTCTTAACTTTACTTGGCATCTATAAAGGCCACCGGTAGCTTTAAAATGCCTTATTATTTTTCTAAGTTTTCAAACTTCAAAGTCACCCTCTCTTTGGGTTGCTCATAAAGTACCTCACCAGATTTTACAAAGCTTCGTCAGAGGTCAAGCTTAAAAATGGTCCACGTTTGAATGACACTCACTGAAATGTTTAAGAGCCAAGAAATATTCAATTGTTGAGCTACAAAAAACTTTTTTCTTCTCTTCACCATCAGTTTTAATCTAGTTCTAGTTTTTTAAAAAAATCAAAGCACCCCCCATGAGTATTTAAGCTAAATTTTGTTTGTCTCCATAAAGAATAAAGGCACAACATTGATAACTAGTTTTTACCCCCTCCCTTTTGAAGGTTCATAATAAAATAGCCTGTGGTTTGCTTTCCTCTCCGTTCA